TGTTGTTGTTGTTGTTGCGGGATTTGGCTCCCGATTTGGTAGCCAATGATTCGCTGACCGTTAACCACCGGCACCTGTCGTCCGGTCTCCTGGTAGACGATCCTCTGATCGCCCAAATGCGAGACTACCGGCGACTTAACCACTTGTTTCTGACTCAAGATTTCTGATTTTGGCACTTCTTGCACGACATGAAGAGGTCTGTGGTCGACATCGTGACCGACGTGGGAGTCGTGGACAACCACTTTCTGGTCGACAATATCCCTTCGCTGATCCACGACAGGCACCTGTTGCTCGATATTCAGCACTTGTGGCACCTGTTGTTGCTGTTGGACGGGCTGTTGGACCTGTTGTCTCTGAATCTCAATGTTCAATGGCTGAGGAATGACTGGTTGGATGAAGTACTGGTAGTTTCTGGGCGACGATCCCTTCACACCTGATGTCAACACCTGGTACGAGGGCTTTCGGACCCATTCCTGGGGAACGTGAGATTGGAGTTGCGATACCTGTTGGACCTGTTGGACCCGTTGTTGCACTGGTTTCAGTTGGTACTGAACGGTCGGACGTCTCACACCCTGAGAGGACTGGTAGTAGAAAATTAAATTATAACTAAATGCAAACTTTTGAGTGCTTTTTATACCACTCTGTGCTCTTCAATAGAGATGGGAAGTCCGTGCTGTACGGTTTGGTACACCACTTGCTTCTGAGGTATAACCGGTGATCCATAACCAAAAATAGGTCGCACCACTTGTGATACTTGTGATCTGCCCTTAACGGCGTACTGTTGCTGAGGTATGGGTTCAACCAGACGTCTCTGTCCAGTGATCACTTGGGGGAAGATCTGGTCATCATTGGTGAGCACTTGTCTCTGGATATTAACCGGCGATATGCCGGACACCAAGAGGGAGGGCTGCTGTTCGTTCACCACCTGCTTCTGGTTGTCGACCTTAACATCATCTTTGGAGTCGACTACCGGCACCGACTGTTCATTGACGGGTTTCACCTCATCATTGACTGTAAAATAGTGGTGACCAAAGGGGTTGTAATCTAAGAGACCGATAATAATGTCATAAATTTTGAAAACGACTTATACCTTCTTCGCGGGCCTCCAGAGACTCGTCGATATTCAGGTATCTCTGTTGATCCCTTTCCGTGAGGAATGGCTCGCTTTTGACGGACCCGTAGGTCAGAGGCGCCGGCTCTATATAGATGGGCTCATTCTGGTTCCACACAATAGGCTGCGATACGGGCACTCCGGACACACCATCCACTTGCGAGGTTAAGCCATCTTTGCCTGCAGTGTATTTAACTATTCTTAGTCCCCCTTCAGGAATACCAGTCAATCATAGTTTGGACAAAGATATGTAAAATTAATATTTCTTTTTAGACTATGCTTGATATGCTAATTAGTAGTCAATATTTGCTATACATGTATAGCATTCTCCATATTCATAAGGATTATCGATACGAAAATATTGGTCTAAAAATACTTTATTTGCACTTAAAATAAAATATTTAACATAAAAATAGAAAATGTTCTCATTTTTTGATGACATCCGATAAGTGTATGAATGCTATCAATAAATAATTAAATGATGGATATCTTCGTAATAAACTAATTAGAAAGCGATTATTCAAATCACGAAAAGTGAATCTTATTACAAAACAACCTTTAAATTAAAAATAAAAATATATTTATAGAAATGCTGTAACCGTCTGTCTATCTATTAGTTCACCAAAAAACACTACAGATTCCCTATACTGTACACCCGTTTTGACAGAATGACAGATCATTTAGAGTCGATGTTTGGCTCACCTGACGGGTCCTGAAAGCCGTATTTGCCGTAAACAATGCCATCGGAGTTCCTGATCTCATCCCTGAATTGTCGACCTTCTGGTTGGTTATTATCAAAGAAGAATTGGTAGGAGCCGTCGGCATTGATTTGCGAGCCGTACAGTCCACGAGCACAGGGAGGTCGCCATA